TATATTTTTGAAAAATACGAGTAAGAGTCCATTTCGATCAATTTTTAAGAATTAATATTTATTATTAATTTATATTCATTTGAATTAAATTGTAAGAGTTATTTTTATATTTGATTTAAATGATCGTAGAATCGAAAGATCCTCTTTTATTCGAAGTATAGAATGAATTTCTAACGAGCAACGAAAAAAAAAAAAAGAAAAAGAGAAAAAGATATTTGCTCGAATGGTGGACCGTCTGGACTGGAGGAAACGAATACCCTTTCGGGGTAATTGCGAAACCAGTTAAACCTTGCAAGCCTTTATACGTCGCATAAGTCGCCTTTGAACGCACGGAAATAGGATTTTGGCTAAGCTCGAAGCTTCCATCCCAAGGTTTCTATGGCTTTCCGCGTTTCCTTCGACATCGAGGCTTTTAGAAGAATCCTTGCCGATGACTTTTACGTCTGACCTTTGTCCTCCTCTTCCTTATTCCCTCGTTTCACTCGTTCTATGCTCGCTTCGGCTCGGCGCAGTCGTCTAAGAAAGAATTTGTATTCAACTGTCTCTTCTTCTTCCTCTCGAAGGGTTTCTCTTTAAGCAGCTTTCTTAATAATAATTTTTCAAATTTTTTAACGAATCGGAGAAATTATTATTTTTATTATTTAGAATAATAAGCGTTTCAAGCAAAATTCTAAAAATGCGGTCATTCTTCTTCTTCTTTTTCTTCTTCTTCGTCATCATCTTATTTTTCACTCTGATAGAAAGAGAAATAATAACGATGTTTTAATATTTTTACAAGCGAAACGTTTCTTCGTTTGATTTACAAACATAATTGTATTTTTTCATTTTGACAAGCACAACTTTTTTGATGCGGAGAAGTTTTAATGCTATACAGGATGTACCATTTTAATTAGTTCGTATAAATATTGTCGAAACGGCGAAACGAATATCGAATTTATTATTACGCAAACAGAAAGCTCTTCGTTATTTTTAAGAATAACGGAGGATATAGGAAATATCCGGAAGCTCGAGGAAATTGCTCGCGATTTTAAATTAATGAAAAATTCAAGCTTTCCTTTTTCCTTGACAAATAATTTTTATTTATATAAATATCGTATCGATGACGACTTTATTACGCGACGATAATAAAATTATCCAGACCCCACTTACGTAATTATTCGCGACAATACCTGAGACGCGTATTACACGCAGTTTTCCACGTGACATTTCCCTGTTAATCTGAACGTAACAACGCGGCGGCTTAATTAACTTAAAATACGCGGGAGGCTCTCGATGTTTTATTCCCGGACGGAAAGCAAAGTGGCTCTGCACCCCGCGTATTACAATATTTGCCCTCTCCGCGACGCTGTTTGGTCAGCGGACTACGTCTACAGTGTCTCGCGTTTTGCTATTTTAACGGCGTGCCTTTTAGTTTTCGCTCGTGAAACCAAATGAAATCGATTTTACGTTTGTCCCAACTCGTTCTTCGTCTAAGGAGGAGGACGATTAAACGTGAAATTGTTCCACTTGATGAAGCGCGGTACAGTATAGTTGATAAGAGATTAGAGAAAACGATCGAAACTTTAATATTTACATTGTCTTTCTTAAACTCAATGTAAACTGTCGAGTGTAACGCGTCAAATATTTTGTTGAGCGCGAAGCGATAAAAGGAAGAAGTGCGCAGAATCCAAGCGTGAACTTCGGAAACGGTCGGAAAAATTCGGGTAGAATCGTGCGCGATCGCGGCACTCGTATCGTACGAATTCTGATCGACAATAATCGGCTAAAAAATAATAGTTAATTCAAGTTAGCAAATTTTTCGTAACGATTCGCGAAAAGATAAAATTTAACTGTGACGTTAGATTAGATCGAACTCGAAAATAAGATATTTCATACGGATTGTTAATTCAGTTAATTATTTTACGATATAAGAATTTCTAATTTCAATATTTTTTTTCAAAGAATATTTGATATATCGTGATAATTTTTATTCCAAATAAATACATGTTTCTTCCCTAGTTAACGATTTAATAACGATTTCAGTTTATTATAACGTTTAAAAACGAGATTGAAACGTTACAATTTTCACACCGTGGTAGACACGTCATTGACACGCAATTAAGAATCATCCTGTAATTTTTGGTGAAAAAGCGGAACGGCTGAAAGCGGGACCCGCTACCGAGACATTAATTTACCATTACGTCAAGGTAATCAAGTTAAATTTTCACAATGGCAAACGAATTTCATCCGGTCGGTACTCGCCGCTACCATCAATTTTGCAGCTGCGCGTGACGTTTACAATTCGCCTAGATTAATCGTTCCGAAAGTTCTCAGGATATCAGCGTTTCGTGCCTCATCCGATGCCATTGCGCTTCTCCTATGCCTTCCGTGTATTGTATTCGTTCGAGAGTTTTTCCCATTCCTCGTGGCGTATATTGGCAGAATGAAGAAATATTCCACACAGATAAAAGGATATACGTTTCGTATAACGTGTAGTTCTTTTTTTTTCTTTTTTAAATGTTTCTATTTTTATTCTATTCTTACTTTCGAACGATTTCTTTTTCTTTTTTTCGTCCTCTTTACGAGTCTTTCGTTTTTCAAAATTCGTTTTCTTAAATTTAAGTTTTTTTCAACACTTGCAACATTTTTCTCCAATTATTTTAAAATCGGTTATATTTCTCTCTCGTGATCCAGCAGAGAGACAAGGAAGAGGAAGATATTTAAAATTCACACCGTAATTCAATGATTCATGTATCAGATAGTGGAACACGGATAATTAATGAGCTATTCGAGGAAAACAGAGCGGGTGGTAGCAATTTTCCGCGCTTTAAATAGTAACCGATAATTGATTTATGAACGACCTAACAGTTGCTTCGTGTTTTTGGAACAAAGCTCGCTCTCTCTCTCTCTGTCTGTCTGTCTGTCTCTCTCTCTCTCTCTCTATCCGCGTGAAAACTTTTCGAACGAATTGTGTATCGTGGCAAGGAACAATTAAAAACTATCTTTCCAGCTTATCGCGAATGAATATTTCCTTCCCTCCGCAAGCTTGTATCACGAAATATTTCGCATTAATATTCTCGTATCGACATTTGTAAGCTTCTATTTTAATTATTTCCTTGCGCCACCCGGTTATCTCGATTTCACCGGCTCCCATATTTTCTTCCATTTAGCTTCAATTTCAATTTTGTCGTTTCCAATTATCAATATGCCGAAAATATTACCGATACATGGTGGAACACATTTAATCGATAAAAATTAATAGGTGGATGAAACGGTGATTGAAGATATTGCGATGAAAGAAAAATCTTAATTGATAATATATAAATTTATGTTAATCAATTACGTTAATTAATATTGCGTAATTGGGAAGAAATTTTATTCGTTTCTTTCAAAATAAATCGGGGAACAGGATTTTCAGGATTATATCAAAATTCTCTTATTTTTTTTAAATGATAAATGTGGATTTATTATTTTCAAAGATTTCGAATTTAGATTAAAATTCCATTTAACGAGAGGGCCAACAAAATTCTTCAAAATTGCCATTAATTATCAAAAAGTATAATTATGTCAACGCACATATTAAAATCTGCAAAGTTTATCAAATAAATCAAAATTCTTTGAGCAATGAAATTCCTAAAATGATCGTTGAAATATCCTACTTGAAAGATTATTCTCATTGGCTACTTTCAATCAACATTGTATGAGAAAACGACATTTGAACGCAACCAAAATCGGCAAAATATAAAATAAATCGAAAATGATCGACGCTATTTAATCATCACACTCGAAAAAATCCTATAATTAGAAGAAAATACAAACGCTCAAAATGAATCAAAACTCTTCGAACAAATCCTTAAAACACTCGTTAAAAGGAATTATTTATCCACTCGAAAAATTATTCTCAACTATTTTTACAAATACTTGA